CCTTACAATTGTATGTTGTGGCTCTAAGATTTATATTTTCAGAGAAATTAGAATTTTCCATTTCTGGTTCATCACATCCTCTTACCCTTCACTGTGGGGAGGAGCTCCTAGAGGGGTCCATGGGACCCCAGCCATGGTAGGGATACAACTGTTTCCCATCCACAGTACATGAATGAAAGAATCAATTCTCACGGTTTTGAGAGCTTAGGCTGGACACAGGATTGAAAGAAGTGTCTTGAGTCCCTAAGCCCACTGATATACCCTCATTCTGCCTCCAGAGGGATGGAGAGGGGGCCTTACAGGAGTCCTTTGCAGTCTGATCAAATTTATAAACTCTTCAGAATTTCTTTTTTCTAATGAATTTATTTTTGTTACAGATGTTTCTCTTTTTCCCCCATTGACATGCTCCTCCCAATCTCACCCCCCACCAAGCATTGTTGCTATGTCCATTGGTTATGCATACACACATATAAGTTCTGTGATTTATCTCCTCCCTCCCCCCGCACCTCTCCTCTGAGGTTTGTCAGTCTGAACCATACTCTTGTCTGTCTCTCCGAGTCTGTTTTGTTCATCAGCTTTTTTTTTATTTCATTATATTCCACAAATAAGTGAGATCATGTGGTATTTGTCTTTCTCCGATTGGCCTATTTCACTTAGCATAATACTCTCCAGGTCCCTCCATGTCGTCTCAAATGGTTTGAGATCTTTCTTACAGGTGCATAATGTTCCATTGTGTATATGTACCACAGCTTTTGTGTCCACTCATCTACTGATGGGCACTTGGGTTGTTTCCAGATCTTAGCAATTGTAAATAGTGCTGCTATGAACTTAGGGGTACATATATTCTTTCTGATTGATGTTTCAGGCTTCTAGGATATATTCCTAGAAGTGGGATCACTGGGGCAAATGACAGTTCAATTTTTAATTTTTGAGAAAACACCATATTGTTTTCCATAGTGGCTGCACCAGTCTGCATTCCCACCAGCAGTGCACTAGAGTCCCCTTTTCTCCACACCCTCTCTAGCACTGGTTGAGGATTTGTTAATGGCAGCCATTCTGGCAGGTGTGAGGTGATACCTCGTAGTTGTTTTAATTTGCATCTCTCTGATGATTAGTGACGTTGAGCATTTTTTCATATGTCTCTTGGCCATTTGTATGTCCTGTTTGGAGAGGTGTCTGTTTAGTTCCTCTGCCCATTTTTCAGTTGGGTATTTTGTCTTCCTTTTGTTGAGTTGTATGACTATATATTTTGGAAATTAGCCCCTTATCTGATGTATTATTGGCAATTATGCTCTCCCATATAGTGGGTTCCCTTTCCATATTGATGGTTGTTTTTTTTTTTTTTTTTTTTTGCTGTGCAGAAGCTTTTAGTTTGATGTAGACCCATGTGTTAAATTTTTCCTTTGTTTCTTTTGCCTTAGGCATTTTATCAATGAAAATTCTGTGTATGACGTCTGAAATTTTGTTGCCTACATTTGCTTGGATTTTTATGGATTTATGAGTCACATTTAAGTTTTTTATCCATTTTGAATTTATCTTTTGTATGGTGGAAGTTGGTAGTTTAGTTTTATTTTTTTTTGCATGTAGCTGTCCAATTTTCCCAACACCATTTATTAAAGAGGCTGTCTTTACTCCATTGTATGCTCTTGCCACCTTTGACAAATATTAATTGAGCATAATGTCTTGGTCTATTTCTGGATTCTCTGTTCTGTTCCATTTATCTATATGCCTGTTCTTGTGCCAGTACCAGGCTATTTTGATTACAATGGCTTTGTAGTATAACCTGATATCTAGTATTGTGATCTCTACTACTTTAGTCTTCTTTTTCAAGATTGCTGTGGCTATTCAGGGTCTTTTTTGGTTCCATACAAACTTTTGAAGTATTTGTTCTAGTTCTGTGAAATATGTCATTGGTATTTTGATGGGGATTACATTGACTCTATAGATTGTTTTGGGTAATATAGACATTTTAATAATGTTAATTCTTCCAATCCATGAATAAACTATATGTTTCCACTTTTTTGTATCTTTCTCTATTTCTTTTTTCAATGATCTGTAGTTCTATGCAAATAGGTCCTTGACTTCTTTGGTTAAGTTTATTCCTAGGTATCTTAAATTTTTTTGCTACAGTGGTAAATGGGATTTTTTTTTAGTTTCTCTTTCTGTGCGTTCATTATTGATGTATAAGTATGCCGTTGATTTCTTGACATTAATTTTGTATCCTGCTACTTTGCCAAATTCGTTTATTAAATCTAGTGGATTTTTGATGGAGTCTTTAGGGTTTTCTATGTACAATATCATGTCATCTGCAAATAATAACAGTTTCAGTTCCTCCTTTCCAATTTGGATCCCTTTTATTTTTTCTTCCTGTTTGATTGCTGTGGCTAAGACTTCCAGTACTATGTTAAATAAGAGTGGCAATAGTGGTTATTTCTGTCTTGTTCCTGTTCTTAAGGAAAATGCTTTTAGTTTTTGCCCATTGAGTATGATGTTGGCTGTAGGTCTTTCATATATGGCCTTTTTTATGTTGAGATATGATCCCTCTATTCCCAGATTGCTGAGCATTTTTATCAGAAATAGGTGCTGGATTTTGTCAAATGCTTTTTCAGCATCTATTGATATGATCATGTGTTTTTTATCTTTCATCTTGTTTATGTGGTGTATCACATTTATTGATTTGCAAATATTTTACCAGCCTTGCATCCCTGGGATGAATTCCACTTGGTCATGGTGAATAATTTTTTGATGTATTGCTGGATCTGATTTGTCACTATTTTTTTTTTTTTTTTTTATCCTCACCCGAGGATATTTTTCCATTTTTTGTACAGATAGAGTGGGAGGGAGAGAGAGAGAGAAACATCGACGTGAAGGGACACATCGAGTGGCTGCCACCCGCACAACCAACCAGGGCCGGGGACCAACTGCAACCGAGGTACGTGCCCTTAGCGGGAACCGAACCCGGGTCTCTCCGGACCGCAGGCCGACGCTCTAACCGCTGAGCCAAACTGGCCAGGGCTGTCACTATTTTGTTAAGGATTTTGCCATCTATGTTCATTAGAGGTATTGGCCTGTAGTTTTCTTTCTTTGTAGTGTCTTTATCTGGTTTTGGAATTAGGATTATTCTGGCCTCATAAAATGAGTTTGGAAGTCTTCCTTCTCCTTGACTTTTTTGGAATACTTTGAGGAGAATGGGTATTAGTTTTCCTTTAAATGTTCAGTAAAACTTCCTCGTGAAGCTTTCTAGGCCTGGGCTTTTGTTTGCTGGGAGATTCTTGATCACATCTTCAATTTCCTTAGTTATTGTTGGTCTGTTCAAGTTGTCTGTCTCTTCCTGGTTCAGTTTTGGGATACGATGTATTTCTAGAAATTTGTCCATTTTACCTAGATTGTTCAATTTGTTGGTGTATAATTGTATTTGTTAATGATCCTTTGTATTTCTATGGTGTCAGTTGTTACTTCCCCTCTTTTGTTTCTGATTTTGTTTATTTGGGTCATCTCTCTTTGTTTCTTGGTGAGTCTAGCTAAGGGTCCATCAATCTTGTTTATCTTTTCAAAGAACCAGCTCTTTGTTTCATTGATCATCTGAATTTTTTTTTTTTTTTAGTCTCTGTGTCGTTATTTCTGCTCTGATCTTTACTATTTCTTTCCTTCTACTAGCTCTGTGTTTTTCTTTTTGTTTGCTTCCTAGTTCTTTAAGTTGTGAAGTTAGATAGTCGATTAGAAATTTTTCTTGCTTCTTGAGGTAGGCCTGTAGTGCTATGAACTTCCCTCTCAGGACTGCTTTCACTGCGTCCAATAGATTTTGTGTTTTGTGTTCATTTTCATTGGTTTCCAGGAATTTTTGAAATTTTTTCATTGATCTCCTTGGTAACCCATTCATTGTTTATTAACTATTAACATTCTATTTAGCCTCCATGTGTTTAAATGTTTTGGCGAGTTTTTGATGTAATTGATTTCTAGTTTCATGCCATTGTGATCTTAGAAGATGCTTGATATGATTTTAGTCTTCTTGAACTTATAGAGACTTAGTTTGTATTCTAACATGTGGTCTGTCTTTGAGAATGTCCCATGTGCGCTTGAGAAGAATGTGAATTCTGCGGTTTTGGGGTGTAGTTCTCTATATATATCTATTAAATCCATTTGATCTTGTACAGCATTTAAAGACTCTGTATCCTTGTTAATTTTTTGTCTAGAGGATCAACCCAGTGATGTCAGTGGGGTGTTGAAGTCCCCTGCTATGATTGCATTGCTGTCGATTTCTCCTTGGAAGTCCTGCAGAAGATTTTTAATATATTTTGGTGTTCCTATATTGGGTGCATATATGTTTGCCAAGGTCATATCCTCCTCTTGTAGAAATCCTTTCAATATTATGCAGTGGCCTTCTTTGTCTGTAGTTATAGACTTCATTTTGAAGTCTATTTTATTGAATATGAGTATTGCTACCCCAGCTCTTTTTTCCTTTCCATTTGCTTGGAAGATTTTTTTCCATCCCTTCACTTTCAACCTCCGTGAGTCTTTTGTTGTAAGGTAAGTCTCTTGTAAACAACATGTATATGAGTCATACTTTCTTATCCTATGAGCTACTCTGTGTTCAGGATGTTTTTAAATTAATTACATAAAATGCATGAGATTACTGGAGTTGCCAAGTAGCTTGATAAATATATGGTTAAACACAGTTCTTATGATTGCAAGGGTGGTTCCCAGAGCCCCAGGTTGAGAACTCTACTAGGGGCCTGAAATGGGGACAAATGTGGACTGAAAGCAACATAAGAATGGAGAGGTCAAGAAGTGTGGTCCACAATCCACTAAACAAACAAAAGGACGGCCCTTAAGTGAGAATGTGGTCTGGAGCCTGAACACATCCCAGGAAAGCTGTCTTGAGAAGGAGGATGGGAAGGGGGTGTGGGAAGGCTGGACTGGCCCCCTCCCACTTTGCAATGTGGTCTCCCATGTACAATCTGTCACCGATTTCTTTGCAGGGCCCAGAGAGTCAAGAAAGAATGTCGAGTGATGATAAAAATAAGCCTAGTGATCCCAAGAATGAGCCCAGATGTGACCCCAGATGTGAACCAAAGTTTGAGACCAAATGCCAGCCCAGCTGTTTAAAGAAGCTGCTGCAACGGTGCTCTGAAAAGTGCCCTCGGGAAAAGTGCCCACCACCACCCAAGTGCCCCCCGTGCCCTCCACCGTGCCCCCGGCAATGCCCACCATGCCCACCGCAGTGCCCATGTCCTCCCAAGCACTGTGTCAAGCCCTGTCCTCCTAAATGCCCACCGCCCTGCCCACCGCCCTGCCCACCCCCAGAGTGAGGCACCAAGGGCGCCACCCAGCCCCAAGCCTGCATCATCTCCACATGTTCACCACCTTGGGGCTGAGAACTGAAGCCATGAAATGACAAGTAAACGTGTTCCTCTGCTGTGCAAGACTTGCTTCTCTGGTTTGGTTTGGATTTTTTTTTGGCAGTTTTCCATTTGTCTGTTGTTTTCCAGCACTAAACCACCAAGAAATGACCCCTGGGGAGTGAGGCTAGGACCCTGGCCCTCCACGATCAACCACCTTTGAAGACAGTGTCTCCTCTGGCCCTGCTTGCTACACAGAGAGATAAGGCGGTGCACCCAGGGTACACCTAACAGTGCAGCCTGAGAGAGCCATAAATGTGACTGTTAAAGTGACTAACCATGGGGACCCAAGTGGCCATGAGGGAGAAAGAGGAGAGGGAGATTAGAAACGGTTCCAGAAGGCTCAGGAAAAGAATTCTACCTTTCGTTTTCAGCCCCATGGCCTAATGCTTGGACCCAGAACTCTGAAAACAGGCTGCATGGGTTTGATCTCCAGCTCTGCTCCCTAAATTCTTCGTGAGCTTTAGCGAGTTGCTGAATTTCTCGGAGCCTTAGTTTCCTTCTCTCTGCACAAGGAATGATGTTGCTAATAGTGTAGGTGTTGCAGGGTTGCTGTGTGGCCTAAGAAGTTAAAGGCTAAGTGCCCAGCTTACTGGGGTAACATGTGCTTGGTGAGGGGAGCACCCTGCAGCTGCTGGTTCCGTACCCCTGAATGCCATTGCTCTGGGCAGCTCTTCCTCATCAGGTCACAGGTCTCGTGAACGCAGATAGGTTCTAGCTTACACCGTGTGCACGCAAGGCTTTCTTCTGAAAACTGAAACAGGGCCCTGGCCAGTTTGGCTCAGAAAGACCCGGGTTCGGTTCCTGCTAAGGGCACGTACCTCGGTTGCAGTTTGTCCCCGGCCCTGGTTGATAGTGCAGGTGGCAGCCACTCAATGTGTCCCTTTCACGTCGATGTTTCTCTCTCTCTCTCTCTTCCTCTCTCTCCCTCCCACTCTACCTGAACAAAAAAAAGGACATAAAGAAATAAAAACTGAAACAGGACTTGTAGACTATGCTGATGTCAGTTGGCTGGCTTTGACACTGAACTACACTTTCCTAACCTGTTAACACCGAGGCAGTTCCCACGGACAGTAAGCTGATCTCCACTTTTGCAGTCTTCTGTGAATCTGTAAAATTTCAAAAGAAAAACAAGTACAAAAAAGATTAAATCTGGGAGGACCTCTATTAGAAAGGAATAGGAAAACATTCTCAGCTGATATGTTAGTGGAGATTATTTACAGGTAGCTAAAGAGAGTGCACATCAAACAGCTTAATTCATAAAAGGAAATTTACCATCTCAAGTGGAGATGATGAGATGAGGAGGGGGACGTAGAAGAAAAGAGAGAACTACGGGGACCAGGGCTGCGGGAGCTTGGCCTCACCGCCACCATTTCAATCCCCCTGTTCTCCATCAGCCTCCACTCCTTTTCAGGGTGGTCTCCTCCTCCTCTGGGGCCCCTCCATGTGGAAAGGTTCTTGGCCAGGTGCAGACCCAACGTGTTGTGGGATTGGGCATGAGGTGCTCCTGTTATTTGCAAGAAAGAACGCTGGTTGCTAGAAGGACACAGCCCACCCCAATGAGCAAGTGGATACGAGCTTTGCCGCACAGGGCAGCTCGCAGCACACAGTGGGAGTCGGTTAGGCTTCTCTGCTGTCGCAGGAAGAGGTGCTGCCCGGCCAGATCCGGGGTGGTGGCACATGAACATCCTTCCTGCCTTCTGAGTCTAGAAGATGGTTCAGGATGACAAAGGGGACAGTGGGTACTGAGAGTCCAAACGGTGCCTAAGAAAAGGCACCTGTGATCCCCACCAGACCAAGGTCACTGCAGAAGCAGACTTTAGGACAAAGAAGTTGACAAGGCTTTTAGGGTGTGTGTAACCCCTTCGGTATCCAGATGTGCAAAATGCTAGCTCCTTTCCCTGGCAGGAGGAGGCCTTGGGGTCTTGGAGCCTGGGACCCCACCCCACAGCCCACAGAGAGGTGCCGCCTGTGTACTGGGACCTCTGGAAACCTAGTTTAGGGCATCAGGGGGCCTGTGGTCACGGGTTGATAACAGGTTGAAAATTCTTCTATCCTCATCGTCTTTCAGAAAGAAGGTAAGGAGAAAAGAAATAAAACAATAGTGTGACATCCTCCTCCATTTGTTTGACGATCACTTTTAAGTAACAAATCCAGAGTCCGGGCTAGAGAGGGTGCAGTGCTGTGAGGTGTACATGGACAGAAATCCTCTCGGCGACGAATGTCAGGAACATGGAAATGCGAACCGAAAGCATCAAATGATTCAAACTTTTGGCCCGACGGTTCCATGTCTTGAAATCTATGTAAAGAAAATAAATTCCAAAATAGGTGGTGGGAGTGTATATAAAGCTTATTATGACAGTGTAACTTAGAAACAATTTAAATATCTAACAGGGATTTGATTAAATAAATTTGGACTTATTACTTAATGGAACATTATGTGATCCTTGAAATATATTAAAGGTGAAGAAAGCCTTCAACACAATGTAGAGCATAAAGCAGCTATGTTTAACCAAAAACTTCTGTAAATAATAATAATTTATTGATATTCTAGTTATTTTAGGACAATGTAATTATGGGTAACCAGTAGAATATGTTTATTTTTCACTAGCTCTGGATTTTCATCAATAGGTTGTTCTTTATTTTTGTAAAAGCAAAAGTATAATATAATTATGAATACTTCAGAGACTCACAAAGAGCAAAAACAAAAAACAAATAAATAAAAAAATGGGGGTGGGGGTGAGGAGGAAGAATGTCTTCTACACCTGAACTCACCATGGAGAAGGTGCCCCACCTTGGGTGCCTTCCTTGGAGATGTAGGGTCTCCCTTCCAGGCCTCCCGGGTCCAGACAGGCGCTGGTGCCCTCCCGGTGGCTCTGAGGGCTCTGGACATAGACTGGGTGGCAGCCAGCTCTGAGAACATGAAACCATCCATTTGCCCATTTATTTCATTTTCTCCCATGTAGATGAAACCCAAGATACCATCTCTTAATGGCTACTTTCCCAGCAGAAGGCTGGATCAAAGGCAGCTCCGGGGAGGATGGCTAGAACATGATGAGGGTACCACCTCCCTGCAGAATGCCCTAATTACTCCCAGCCCCAGCGGCGGTCACCGGGTCCTGCCCCACGTGGAAGAGGGTTGTATAAATAAATAAGCAGCGCCTGAAGAGTGGCACCCCAGGAATCTGTGCAATGCCAGGCTTGATGGCTCCCAGGTAATGGGGCAGAACCAAGCCCTCTCCTTTCATGGAAAATCAGTTCTGAGTGTCCATTAGGAAGGCAATGAGGGGAGACTCTGCCACAGCCCCCCCTTGCATTGTGCTTCCTTGAGAACTAGGTAGCATATAGCCACCTTGCAAAAGGACACTAAGTCCTCCCAAACCAGGCCAGCTGGGCGACTGGCCGGGAGGTGGGCCGGGGCTATGAAAGGGCCGCCCAGAACCACAGGGATGTCCTAGGAACCTAGGAACAGGAGAGGTCATTTTCATGCATGCTCCACCCCCCACACACATGCAAATGACAACTGGAGAGACCACAGGAAGTCACCAGTGACTAATCCCATCCTATTTTCCTGTCCTGCTTCCACACGGCCAACATTCCCACCAGGGACACGAGCACATCCTGGGAGGTTTTATCGACAATGACAAGTCATAACTGCTTCTGTGTCACAGGTGTTGAGGCTCACCAAATAAACAGCTGGATAATACAGTAAGTCAGACACCAAGCACACAAAGATTCTTAAAATACAAGCTGATCGTAAAAGGCACACTGAGGTATTTTCAGCTCCACTTATCTTCCAGGTGTCTGTGCCTCACCTCCGGAGGTCTGTGCAATCTCAGGCTCAAAGGAAATTCTGCTCAGACTGAGGGTTCATGGCTTTTCCCACCAGAAATGCCCCCATCAGCCCTCACCTGTGCCACTCTGAGCTCCGACCTGGCTTCTGGAGCTTCAAGCTGCCCTGCCCCGGCCCTCCTCGGGAAGCCAGCCTAGGGGGTCGTGCTCAACTCAGATGTAACCAGCTCACTCTCTTGCTTAAAGCCTTGAAAGGCTTGTATCTGCCTAGAAAACAGGGCAATGATTTCATCTGTCAAGCAAAACCTTCGGGATCTGACCCCTGCCGCCACCTCTAGCTTTCGCTTGCCGCTTCTCTGTCTCCTTCTAGAACTTCTCAGCCCAGCAACAGGTCCCTGCTGGCGTTTCCTGCCACACAACAGAAACTTTCTGGCCTTCATGTCTTTTCTTTTTATTTAATTTTTTAAGTTTATTTTTTGTTGTTGGCATTATTACAGATGTCCCCTATTCCCTCCCCACACTCCCCCTCCCCCCAGCCCCTGCCCCACCCCAGGTCTTCACCACACCGTTGTCCATGTCCCTGGGCTGTGCAGAAATGCCTTTGCGTTCTTGGGTTAATCTCCTAACCTCTCTCCTCTGAGACCTGTCGGTCTGTTCCCTACTTCCGTGTCTCAGGACCTATTTTGTTCATCCGTTTGTTATGTTCATTAGATTCCACATGTAAATGAGATCATGTGATATTTGTTTTTCTCTGGCTGGCTTATTTCAGCCAGCATAATGGTCTCCAGGACCATCCGCGCTGTTGCAAAGGGTAAGAGATGCTTCTTTTTCACATTCACATAGCATGGCCTTTATGTCCTTATACTTGTCTCTTCTCTGTCATTCTTCCTTCTTCCACCGAATCCTCCTTGAATGGTGTACTTAGGCAAGTCCTCATCTCTGCACCCGACAAAGGGGTCACCACCTTCCACCTGCAGGCTGGTTAGATTGTCTGTGGTCTCAGCCTCCATGCCTTTCTCGCCTGTAACACTCACCCCACCGTATTCTGGTCATCTGGTTACACTGGACTGTAAGTTCTTTGAGACCAAGGTCTGCCTGGCACAGCGGACATTCGATAA